CTCCTTCTCCTTCTCCTTCTCCTTCTCCTTCTCCTTCTTTTTCTCCTGCTCCTGCTCCTGCTCCTTCTCCTGCTCCTGCTCCTCCTGCTCCTCCTGCTCCTCCTCTTCCTCCTCCTCCTCCTCATTCTTCAAGATTTATTTTATTATTTTATGTATATGAGTACACTGTGGCTATATTCAGACACACCAGAAGAGGTCATCGGATCCCATTACAGATGGTTGTGAGCCATGTGGTTGCTGGGAATTGTACTCAGGACCTCCGGAAGAGCAGTCAGTGCTCTTAACCACTGAGCCATCTCTCCAGCCCTGCTGTCTTCTTTTTATATTTAACCCTATTTATTCATTGTGTGTGGTGTGTGTGTGCTCATGTTTACATGTGATGTTCAGAGTACAACTTTTGGGAGTCAGTTCTCTCCCTTCCCCCATGTGGGTCCCAGGGATCTAACTCAGTTTGTCAGGCTTGCCAGCAAGTTCCTTAAAAGTTCCATCTTGCCCACTGGAGAGAAGTGTTTTATTAGGTTCTATGCAGCTCCAAGGAGAGTTTCTCCCAACACATTCACTGAGAACCCGAAGAACCTAAGAACCCAGCCCTACCTCTGTGATATCATCACAGCATCCCCTCTGCTGGGTCATGAGGGTAGGTGACCCCATCCTGTCTAACTAGGAATAGCACTGGGGTCTTTTACAGTTCACTGAAGCTTGCAAAAGCAAAAACTCTGGTACAGGGTCCCTGAGAGAGGGCTCTGTGAGTAAGAGCTCAGGCTACTCTTCCAAGGGTCCTGGCTTTGATTCCTAGCACCCACGTGGCTGTTCACAACCGGCTGTTAACCCGAGGTCCAGAGGAGCCATCGCCTTCTACTGGGTTCTGCAAGCATTTGGCATGAACATGGTGCCAGACGTATAAACACATAAAATAACTTAATAAAAATGATACAAACTGTTTCAAACAGCCCTGGCTGGGGACATGCCTTCAGGGTCTGCAGCTGGTGATTGTCCTCTCCAGGCTCTCTGGTGCTAGCAGGCTGTGCTCTGGCTGCTAGCCGGCTGAGAGGGCTTTTGCTCCGGGCCCATATCTGTAGTTTATGGAGTCAGACTGTCCCTGGACATTCTTTGATTCCTTACAGGAAAATGAGCACCAGATATGCTTGAGGTAAGAATGTAAAATTATTTTTGTTAATAGTCACTCCTAAGATTTTAACTGTATGTAAGGGCTATTAGCATCTAGGCTGGTCACGGTGACTCACAGCTCTCTAGCCCTGGGGAGACATAGTGTGGAAAGACTGGACAGTATGAAGAATCCAGGGATGAGGCTGGGGAAGCAAATGTCTGCCTGGCCCCAGCCTGCTCTAGCAGATTGCCTTTGAGGGGAAGAGGGGAGGAAGGACGGTAGCTTCTGTGGCTGCTCCACTTCTGGTGTGGAAGTGGTGGCTGATAACAGGACAGGGATGATGAAGATAGTGTATTAGAGGGGAAGTCTCTGTTTTGTTTTGTTTGTTGTTTGTTTCTGAGACAGGGTTCCTCTGTGTAACAGCCCTGGCTATGTAGCTCTGGCTGCTGGAACTCCCTATGTAGAGCAGGCTGGCCTTGAACTCACAGAGATCAGCCTGCCTCTGCATCCCAGTGCTGGATCAAAGTCATGCGCCACCACACCAGGTTTTTCTTTTTTTTTGGACAAGATCTTGCACAGCGCAGAACTAGCTACACAGCTGAAGATGATCTTGGATCTCTGATCTTCCCACCTGTACCTATCTCCCGAGTGCTGAGATTACAGGCACGCCCGGTGCGGTGGTGAACAGTCTCAGGACTGCACGTGCTAGGCAAGTACTCTGCCAAATGAGCTACATCCTGAGCCCTGTGTGACTCTCACCCTGACTGTGGTTCAAAGATCGGCACCAGAAAGGAGGTCTGACCACCCCGGGGTGGGGGCACGGAAGGAAGAAGGAAGGAAAACAAGACCTTTGGATAAGTGAATAGTTGACCATTTACAGGAATGATTGACCATGAAGAAGAGATGCCAATGGTTAGGGGAAGGCAGGTGAGGTACTGAATAGGCTTTGTAAGTGACTGTCTGGGCAGACTGTCACTAATACCTAGTCTATATGCTCAACCTTTTGTATATATTTGTGTGTGTGTGTGTGTGTGTGTGTGTGTTAGTTACATATCATACCTGACTTTCTGTGAGAGTAAGAAGTATGCTCATACTTGCCTATATCTGAGGGGAGTGTAACATAGTGACCAAGGTGGTCAAAGTTAACTAAGTATCCTGTATGCCTTTACAAACTTTTTTCTACTTTTTTAAAGTTTTTTTTTAAAAATTCATGTATTTTGCCTGTGTGTCTGTGCACCACATGTATTTCTGGTGCCACAGCAGCCAGGAGAAGGGCTTGGATCCCCTGCAACCGGAGTAATGGATTGTTGTAAGCCATCAGTTAAGAGCTGGGAACCAAGCCTGGGTCCTCTGTAAGAGCAACCAGTACTCCTAATTACTGAGCCATCTCTCTAGGCCCTCTTCAGAATCTTTTTGTTTTGTGTTTTTCAAGATAGGGTCACTTTATGTAGCCCTGGCTGTCCTGGAACTCGTTCTGTAGACCAGGTTGGCCTCAAATTCAGAGATCTGCCAGCCTTTACTTCCTGAGTGTTGGGATTAAAGGCGTGTGCCACCACCACCTGGCACCACCAGAATCATAATCGTCCTTATCCCCAAGATATGGTATCCCCAGTTACGTATTCTAAGAGGTTATATACAGTGCACACACCCATCAGAGTAAGTTCAAAGTTTTGGCAGGGTACAGTTTGAAAACCCTTTAGAGGCAGAGATCTCTGTGACTTCAAGGCCTGTCTTGTTAAACAGTTCCTTTCAGGGCCAGCCTACAGCATAAGATCCTGTCTAAACAAACAAACAAACAAACAAACAAACAAAGCATGTATGCATGCATGCACTGCTCTTCTTCCAGATGACAGCACTGTCTATAATATAAATCCAGTCCCAGAGGATCCGACGCCCCCTTCTGGCCTCTGTGGGATTTGCATACATGTGACCACATGTAGACAAATTGTCCATACACATAAAAACATTTTTTTTTTTTGTTTTTTCCTTCTTGTTTTGAGACCGGGTCTCAATATGCAGCCCTGAAGATGTGCTTCTTCACCCAGCTAAAACATTCTTTTAAAGCTGAATGATTTTAAGTTATTTAGTGTGCGTGCGTGTATACAGTCAGAAGTCTATCAAGTGGATTCTGGCAATCAAATTCAGGTCATCAGGCTGGGTGCAAATATTACTGGCAGACTGCATCCCCAGCCCTTATTGTACTTTTGCTAATATTTACCGTGTTCCTTCCCGGTTGGTGGGACAGCTTCAAAGAGAAGAAGCCAATCCGGTGATTAAGGAGAATGGAGGTGAGGCAGAGGGGAGTGGGGGGGGACGGATACACACAACCCAGCTTTCCTGATAGAGGGACTCAGTGCTAAGAGTGTTCCAGGGTGCTGGGCAGTGTCCCACACCGGCCACAGTTGTGGAGCTCCTGCTCCTCCAGCCTTGACTTCCCAAGTGCGGGGTTCCAGGCACGCATTACCATGCCTGTTACCTGGTGTTGGATACTGAGCCAGACACACTTTTTTGTTTGTTTTGGTTTTTTCGAGGCAGGGTTTCTCTGTGTAGCCCTGGCTGTCCTGGAACTCAACTCTGTAGACCAAGCTAGCCTCGAACTCTCGAACTCAGAAATCCGCCTGCCTCTGCCTCCCAAGTGCTGGGATTAAAGGCGTGCGCCACCACTGCCCGGCCAGACACACCTTTTTGAGACAAGTGTTCACAGTTCAGGCTGTCCTCAAACTCCTTTCTCCCCAAGTTGCACACCATCTCCCCTGCCCCCCCCCCCCAGCCTCCCAGAGAGTTTCAATGTGTAGCCCTGGCTGTCCTAGAACTTATTAGACTGGCCTCAAACATAAGAGCTCTCTGCCTGTCTCCCAAGTCCAAGTGCTGGGATTAAAGGTGTGCCCATCACTGCTGGGCCTACTGCAGACTATCTTTTTTTTTTTTTTAAAGATTTATTTTTTATTTTGAGTACACTGTAGCTGTCTTCAGACACACCAGAAGAGGGCATCCAATCTCATTACGGATGGTTGTGAGCCACCATGTGGTTGCTGGGATTTGAACTCAGGACCTCTGCCAGAGCAGTCAGTGCTCTTAACCGCTGAGCCATCTCTCCAGCCCTACTGCAGACTATCTTAAAAAGAAAAAAATCCATTATAACTTCTTTGTAAGTTTCATACCAGTATAAATTACCCATATAATTAGGATTAACTACTCCCATCCCTTTCAACTTGTGTGGCCATTCAATTAACTACTCACTACAGCTTTTAAATCTTGTCTTCCCATGTCAAGTGCGCTCACACTGCTGGGAACCCATCTATGCAGGAGTGACCTCTGATGCTTCTGCCACTACCTCCCAAGTGCAAGGTTGCAGGTTATGTGCCATGTGGTTAGCTTCCAGTATAAGCAATCACTCTTGAGCAACCATACCCAGTCTTCCTAGAAGCTGGAGGTCTCTGACCTCAGCAGGCAGGCACACTTGGGATGTTTACTGATGGGGTCTCCAGATCTAAATGTCCAGGGGACCTGATGTTCTTACCTCTGCGGAGCAGGAGCTTAGTGCACATGCATAGGGGAGGGGATTCCTAAGGGATCCCAAACCAGACATGAAATGACACATGATCCTCCAGAAGATCTTAGCTCCTGGGCATCTAATGTACATAGGCAGGTGGTAACAGACAACTGTGTTACAGCTTATATTTTCTTTTCATACCACCCACAAAGTGACACAAAAGTACTTTAAAAAAGTATTTTATTAGGATCTTTCTGGAAACTGCATTTCCAAGCCATTATATAAATTTCTGGGCGAGATAAGCCCTTATTACATTGTCTAATATTCATGTTCAGAGGCTCTGGTTCAGACTGAGCATACTTGAATAGACAGCTGCCACCACGTCCAGCACACATGGCTTGCACCCTTCTCATGTTCAGGGAGGTGGCAATGATGCAGTAAAAAGCTTGTCAGGGTGAGTAGCAGCAAAGCCCTGAAAATTAAGAATGCATTTTAGAGCCGGGCGGTGGTGGCGCACGCCTTTAATCCCAGCACTTGGGAGGCAGAGGCAGGCGGATTTCTGAGTTCGAGGCCAGCCTGGTCTACCAAGTGAGTTCCAGGACAGCCAGAACTACACAGAGAAACCCTGTCTTGAAAAACCAAAAAAAAAAAAAAAAAAAAAAAAAAAAGAATGCATTTTAGGACCACACAACAAAACAGTATAAACAGGAAGCTGGTTTATATGTTCTAAAATCAGCATAGTTTAACAAGGTCAGGATTACAACCTGCTAACCATGAAAGTCCACTGTGCTTGTTAACTTTACAGGGCCGGGTGACTAAGACAAACCAAACCCTTCAACCCCTCCCCCAGGCTGTCCTTAGTAGTCATGGTTTACTATAAAGTGAGCTAACCACAACTCACCTTCACTGCAGGCAGGACAGGAGCTGGCTCTCTTTAGACAATGAGATGACTACATCATCCTGTTCACTTCAAGGAACTCCACCATAGTCTGGGAGGGAAGGTTAGCCCACATCTAGGTGAAGGGATTGGTTCCCCAGGCAGCCTTCAGCGCTTACCCTGGAGTTAAGATGGGCACAAATTAACGAGACGCAGGAACAGGATAATTACCTCAATTGAGCCAGTGCTAGAACACCGGGTTCCCTCAAGGAAGGAGAGTAAGGATTCAGGTTCCCCAAAATGAGTCAGATTTATAGTTGACATCAAGGGCAGTGTCAGAGACTCTAGTCTGTGAAATCATCACTCTCAATTTAGGGAGACCTGAGTCAAGGGCAGCACCCAGAGAAAGTTAATCTGAGAGATACACAAGGGTGTGGTATCCAGTGTCCCTACTGGTGATCTATAAATGTAACTGTTTAAACCTGTAACAACAACAACAACAACAAAAAGGTGGCTGGAGCCAGGGCTAAGGATTTTGAGAGCCTGTTTAAATACCAAAAAGCATGGTTTAGAACAGTGGCTCTGAACACCAAGGGAGCCTTATACAGGGGTCCCAAATAGGACGGCCTGTATATTCTCTGGGAGGCAGAGACAGGCGGATTTCTGAGTTCGAGGCCAGCCTGGCCTACAGAGTGAGTTCCAGGATAGCCAGGGCTACACAGAGAAACCCTGTCTCGAACCCCCCCCCCAAAAAATAAGGAAGCAAAAGTAATTTTTGTAGTTGGGAACATCACAACAGGAGGAAGGTTTTAAAGGTTTGCAGCATCAAGAATGCTGAGAACCACTGTTGCGGAATAACTTCTAGTTGCATACAAAAGTTAAAAGAACAAGGAAATCATGTAGGTGACTCGTGGATTAAGCCTGGCCGCCATCATTTTAAGAGTTAGGAAGATTAGTTGTTTCGATCTAAAAACAGAACACGGGCAGCATGGTGACTTGCCTAGAGATTGGATAAGGCCGGCCTGACCTTAAGGACAAAGCAAGGCCCGGGCCGTGGTGCTGCACTGAGATCAGGACAGCCCGGGCTACATGGTGAAACTGTCTCCAACCCTTGTCCTTAAAAAAGTCAAGCAAGGGACAAGCATGCCAGACTCATAAGACCAGAGAAAGCAGTCTTAAAAGAACTTAAGGCTTTTTGGGTCTTAATACTAACCTTTCTTCATGCGTGGGCAACAAGGGCGTGTCCTCAAACCCCTAATAGAAGACACAGAAACAAATCATGAAGATCTCCAGACCACGAAAACTCAAAACCCACGTTACTGCAGACTCTGGACCCGGGGACGGTCAGCGCGCTGCGGTGATGGCGTCAGCGAGACACTCAGAATCACCAGAAGTCATCATTACTGTCCTTTCCCCGAGGTCGACCCCTCATCACACCGCCCACCACTCGCACCGCCGGCTTACCATTGTGCTGCCGGGTCCTGCGGGCGAGGATCAGGAACCTGGAAGAGATCACTGAGTGAGCACGGGTCCGAGAGACGCCGGCCAGCAGCCCTCACCACGGGCTGGGTCAGTTACAAGGGATGGCGTCACGTAGACATCAGAAACTCTAGTCTGTAAATGTGGGTCATCACACCCGGCCCCACACCGCAGAGACCTCCCCACAGGACCCCAGCATACCTGCCACACGAGGAAGACCCGGGCCTTGCCCTCCGGAGGTCACAGGGCCCGCAGAGACCGGGGGAGAGCGGCGATGGGAAGAAGAAGAAGAAGCACAAACCGCACGGGCAGGCGCACAAAGAGACCGGCGGCCGCCCGCCTCCGTCATTTATACTCGCGCCAGGCCGGGGGTCCTGAGGGACATAGTCGTCTACGCATATGCCTGGCTTGATCGCGCTCACGAATGCGAAGGGAACGAAGAAGCATTATGTTTCTCACTGTCCTGGGTAGAGAATCGTGTATATGACGACAATTTGATAAACTACCAAACAAAAAAAAAAAACAAAAACAAAAAAAGGAATCAGGCATCCTAAACGGCCAAGGTTGGGTAAAGACCCTGGAGGCCCTGCAGGGTAGGTTCGCTCTGTGGTCTCTTAAAGGCTTGTGGTTTTAGGGATTCTGTACTCATGTTTGGATCGAGTGTACTCCAGAGGACTCATATTGCCTCTCCCTGACAGGAAAATCTGAATTTGCACCACAGCTTCTGCTCTCCATTTAAAAAAAATGTTGTGTTTTTTTTAAATGAACGCTCTGCTGCATGTACAGCTGCGTGCCAGAAGAGGGCATCAGATTTCGTTATACATGGTCATGAGCATTTGGTTGCTGGGAATTGAACTCAGGACCTAGGAAAAGCAGCCAGTGCTCTTAACTGATGAGCCATATCACCAGCCCCTATAATTCTATTTAAAGGGGAAAAAAGCCACACACACACACACACACACACCTGGCTAATATATAGTCTAAGATGGATTCCATCTATGCCTAGAATTACAGGCGTGACACACTACCATGTTGGGATACTTTTGTCATTTAAAAAAAAGATTTTGAGGGGGGTGGTTTCTCTGTGTAAACCAGGCTTTCCTGGAACTTGCTCTGTAGACTAGGCTGGCCTCAAACTCACAGATATCTACTTGACTTTGCCTCCTGAGTGCTGGGATTAAAGGCGTACAACACCACTGGCCAGCTTTTAAGAAATTTTTTTATATTATTTATTTGTTATTATTTATATAAGTACACTATAGCTGTCTGCAGACCAGAAAAGGACATCAGACCCCATTACAGATGGTTGTGAGCCACCATGTGGTTGCTGGGAATTGAACTCAGGACCATTGAAAGAGCAGTAGGTGCTCTTAACCGCTGAGCCATCTCTCCAGCCCCCTAATACATATTTTTAATTTGATATTATTTGTGTCTGTGTGTGTTACAGCAAGTTGTAAGCCACCTGGTGATAGGTGCTGGGAACTGAACCCAGGTCCTCAGAAAGATCAGAAAGTGCTCCTGATCAGTGAGCCACTGCTCCAGCCCCCTTGGTAGTTTTATTGAGATAGCAATTCTGTACAACAGTCAACACTACTGCTGCGTTTTCTTAAATGCTGAAATTATACATGTGAGACTGTATCTCCGTTTTAAATACATTTTAGCCAGGAAGCAGTGAGGCACAATTTGAATCCCAGCTCTCAAGATCGAAGCAGGTAGATCTCTATGAGTTCAAGGCCTTCCAGGGCCACACGGTTAAGATGGTGCCTCAGAACATAACAAATTTTTGAAAATCTAAGACTCTTATAGTAATTATGTATTTGATAAGTTTCTTAGTTCCTAGAGACCCAAGTTCCCCCTGGGAGAGTTATAGGAAGAGACTCTTTTTGGTTCCAAACTGTGTGCATGTACAGGCCAGAAATGACTTGTTTGTTTGTTTGTTTGTTTGTTTGTTTCGAGACACAGTTTCTCTGTGTAGCCCTGGCTGTCCTGGAACTCACACTGTAGACCAGGCTGGCCCTGAACTCAGAAATCTGCCTGCCTCTGCCTCCCAAGTGCTGGGATTAAAGGCGTGTGGCACTGCTTCCCAGCCAGAAATGACTTCTAACAGTCAAAAATGGCTTAGGAATTGACCACTTCTCTAATGAGGAATTAAAAAAGCATAATTGCCTTGGCCTCTATTAAACTATTGTTAAACTATTGTTGAAGACTGCTTTTCCCTAGGATGGCCTTAAAGTTTCTGTTTGGAGATGCTAGAATTACATGTGGTCTACACCTTAGCCACCTAATTGATTCATTCTCCACAGAGCTGGGGCTTGCTTTGAGGGCCTCGTGCATACTAAGCAAGCAGTCTCTGGTGGCCTACACTCAAAGGCTCTCAAAGGCTGGCATTACCTCACTAGAGTGAAGACCCATGGATCAAAAGCAGCCGTTTTCCATGCTTTCTGCCTGCTTATTCAAGCCTTGGACATGGTAAGTGGTCCGATACATCCCCAGGCCTACTGCCTGAAGAGGGATGGGGATTGTGGGGGGAAAGTGAGTGGGTGAAGTATTCTGTGCCCATAATCCCACCATTGGAGAGGCAGGTACAGGAGAACAGCATGGTCTAATCCTTTTCAGGCCAGCCAGAGCTGCATGGAAAGACTGTCTTTGTCTCTCAGTCTGTCTCTCTCTCTCAAACACACAGGCACACAGGCACACATACACACACACATACATACACACACAGCCTGCCCCACCAAAAAGAAAGAGATATCCAGACATGGTGTCTGGTCACAAGTACATAATCTCAGGTAGTGGGCTCACAGGTATGGACTGGAAATGGCAAGTTCAAAGAGGTCAAAGCCAGGCTGAGCTACAGAGAAAGCATAAGTGTAGCCTGGGAAACCCTGTAAGAGATCTTAAAAAGTCATGAGGAAGCCAGGTTTGGGAAAGGCATATGGATCAGAGGTTATGGCCAGCCAGGACTACACAGGGAGACACTGTCTCAGAAAACAAAGCCATTAAAAAAGAGAGCTCCGAGGCTGGGGGACAAAGCTCAAGGCTCTGGAGCAGTGGGTCCCAGACTTCCTAAGGTCATGACCCTTAAGTTCCTCATGTTGTGGTGACCCCCAACCATGAGAAATAATTTGTGTTGCTACTTCATAACGGTAATCTTAGACAGGCAGTAGTGGCACAGACCTTTAATCCCAACCCTTGGGAGGTAGAGAGGCAAATTTCTGAGTTTAGAGGCCAGCCTGGACTACATGGTGAGTTCCAGGACAACCAGGGCCACACAGAGAAACCCCGCCTAGCTGGGCAGTGGTGGCACACGCCTTTAATCCCAGCACTTGGGAGGCAGAGGCAGGCAAATTTCTGAGTTCAAGGCCAGCCTGATCACAGAGTGAGTTCTAGGCCAGGGCTACAAAGAGAAACCCTGTCTTGAAAAACAAACAAACAAACAAAAACCAAAAAAAAAAAAAAAACAAAAACAAAAAAAACACAACCAAACAATAACCCTGTAATTTTAAGTGCCTTAGGCAACCCTTGTGAAAGTGTCATTTGACTCCAAGAGGCTTCTCCAAGGGTCAGGAAACCCTGTTCTGGATTCAGCCCCTGAGGGGTAAGGGAGAGCTGATGTCATAGACCTAAGAGTCCCTCTTCACTGACCCCAAACTACAGCTCCACCCTGCTTTTTACCAGGAAGGAGCCCTACCCTCAAAGTGAATACCTCGACTGTCTGCATAACTGCACTGAAAATCCACACTTCTAACAAAAAATCCCCAATCCCTTCTCCAGTTATCACAAAACTAAGAAATCCACATAAGCCCAGAATCCATTAGCTCTCCCAACATAGAAACCAACAAAATGTACTTGTAACACTTTATTTTGAATATTTCAGTTGTAAAAGATTTTTAGTATGTAGTGATGCAAAGAAAAAAAGGTACATGGGGGGGGGGCAGTGCAGACGTGTTTGCAGGAAGGAAACACCATCTTTACCCTCCTTAGATTAAATGCACAGAACACGCTGGTTACACTACAAAACTGTAACATGCACAAGCGGATAACAAAAGTTACCAGTACCAAAGAGTAAAGTTATGTAGTACACACTACAAAGAAGCTTCTGAAAGACAGTTTGTCTTAAGAGATGACTGTCCTGAAAGGGAACTGGGCAGCAAGACTGTCTTCCCAGGCCACTGGAACACTGATACAGAATCCCAAAAACTCTTCAGACTTTATCCAACTTTAGCTTTAAGAACAAAATCCCCTGATACAGTGCACAGAACAGCCCACAACGTTAATTTGAATATAAAAAAACACAAGCATACAAAATTTAACAGTCAAATGAATTACCTGATAAAAGGCTGTAACTTTAAAATGAACTCCGGAGAGGACTAAACTTCACAACAGTCCTGCAACAGCAGCCATCAAAGCCACCAGTCTGTCTCCTAGACAACACCGGGAGAGCCAGGAGGGGCCTCTAATCCACCTCCTCGATGGTGGGCCCTGACCCAGCTCCTCCCTTGGGAGCCTGGGCCCCGAAGCCCCCAGCCCCGGCAGCACCCGCACCCTGGTACAGCCCTCTGACGACGGGGCTGCACACCCGCTCCAGGTCCTCACGCTTGTGCTCGAACTCCTCCTTCTCCGCCAGCGTGTTGGAGTCCAGCCAGGAGATGACCTCCTGGCACTTGTCCAGCACCTTCTTCTTGTCAGCCTCGCTGATCTTGCCCTTGAGACCCTCGTCCTCCACGGTGCTCTTCATGTTGAAGGCGTAGGACTCGAGCGCGTTCTTGGCAGCCACCCTCTCGCGCTGCACCTCGTCCTCGGCCTTGTAGCGCTCGGCCTCCTGCACCATGCGCTCGATCTCCTCCTTGCTCAGGCGACCCTTGTCGTTGGTGATGGTGATCTTGTTGGCCTTGCCGGTGCTCTTGTCGGTGGCCGTGACGTTCAGGATGCCGTTGGCGTCGATGTCGAAGGTCACCTCGATCTGGGGCACGCCCCGGGGCGCCGGCGGGATGCCGCTGAGCTCGAAGCGCCCCAGCAGGTTGTTGTCGCGCGTCATGGCCCTCTCGCCCTCGTACACCTGGATCAGCACCCCGGGCTGGTTGTCCGAGTAGGTGGTGAAGATCTGCGTCTGCTTGGTGGGGATGGTGGAGTTGCGCTTGATGAGCGCCGTCATCACGCCGCCCGCCGTCTCCAGGCCCAGCGACAGCGGCGCCACGTCCAGCAGCAGCAGGTCCTGCACGTTCTCAGACTTGTCCCCCATCAGGATGGCCGCCTGCACCGCCGCCCCGTAGGCCACCGCCTCGTCCGGGTTGATGCTCTTGTTCAGGTCGCGCC